GAAAGGTGAGCTCTCGTATAGAAAATACAAAATATATTTTCACAAGTTAAAAAGAAACATCCAGGAACGCTGTGCTGAGAATCTGAAAATTCTCATCAATTATGAAAAGCTACAGATTTCTAACCTGAGAGCCACTGAACTTATTTAACAAGAAAAAAAATCTAAGGACAAAGTATGTTTGAGTTATTTTTTATATAGTTTATTAATGGTCTATTCATTTTAACCTAGTTTTAGGGTTTATCTAGATATTGAAAAAAAATTAGGTCAATTCTATAACAGCAAATTTCATAAAGTAGAGCACTTGCTTTAGAAAACTTACACAAAATTTCTTGTCTGGGTCTGTCCTAACAATCTAAAACTTAGCAAGAAAAATTCTCAACAGCCAACAGGTTTCTTGTTTTTACAGTTGAAAACCATATTTTACAAAAAAAAGTATTTTCAAAATGGAAAATTTGGTTCCGATTATCATTGAAATGTACAGACATCTGCTTCAGAAAGCAGTCATGCCCAAAAATTTCTACAAAAGTTTCTACTTGTGACTTTTAAAAGTGGGAGGGGTAAAGAGACATTAAATGACTTGCCAGTGGGAATAGAAAAAGTTGCTCAACACTTGCTCTTCCCTGGGTCTTGCCAGAGTTCTACAGGCATTGCAGAACCCAGCATTTAGGGAGCACTGACTTTCAAAGTCATATCTCCTCCAAATATATTATTTATTTTGTTTTTCTTAGATCAAGGATAAATAGACAAGTACCTTCTTCAGCTCAGAAGCTCCCTGTGGTCCAGGGGTAGGCTCTCCCTGGTAGGAACCAGCCATGAAGAACTGTCCTCTGAGGACACCTGATAAAAATGCATGGCACAAGCCTGGGTACATGGTGCCACTATCAAGTTGGAGCATCACAATGCTTCCGATGAAGAAAATGAGCACAATTTTAAGAAAAATGGACAACTGATTTCCTCTTCAAATTGCTTCTTCCAAAAGTTGTGGTTCTCTGAAACTCTTACAGGTCTTTCAGAGTCTGTCCCTAAAACTGTGCAGGTATGTGAGTGGTAAAATACATTTAACATAAAATTTACAAATCATTTTTCACTATATAATAGCATTAATTACATTCACATTGTCATAAAACCATTACCACTATTCAACTCTAAAACTTTTTCATCTTTCCAAAGTGAAACACCATACCCATTAAACAATACCCATTCCTCCCCTTCTTCAGTCTCTGACAAGCATATCACTTTCTGCCTCTATGAATCTAACTGCAATCATGTAAGTGGGAAATTTGTTTTAATCCACCCACAAGGTTGATTTCTAGAACTGAAATAAATCCCAATAGCAAGGGCAAGTGCCATTTTCAATTCTATCTCCTCTACACACACACCAACACAAGCATGATTTATCACTGTAGCAGTTAAGAGTCAGAGATCCTTTTCCTTTGCAAAACAAAAGACAAAGTCACTTTCCTGTGACTGATCAAGCCACAGTGATTCTCCCAAGAAGGAAGCTGGGAAATATTTAGCATCAGAACGTCCAGGAGAGAGCTAGAGAGCTTGGGGAATGCAGCAAAAGTAAGCACCAATTCACAAGTTCTTCTTAAGATCTTGGCCTGAAAAGGGGAATATCCAGGTCAGGATTCCAAACCACTAAGGCTTCTAGATAAGGTGTCTATAAAAGGGAAGGTTAAGGTAGATCTTGGTGAAACCTAAAAAAGAGGAAATGCCAAACTACAGGAGGTATCTTATTATAAGGAGATAATTTATATAAAAAGATGATGGCCTGCTAAGCTCTCCTTAGCTTTCCCATGAGAATGGTCCCACACAATCTGTTTCAGATGATACATATAAGAAAACCCTAAAATATACCCTTGTCAGTATCCCAGCAGCAAGTCATAGGATAAAACAGCAATAGTTGGTTACCAATGATAACAACAACTAAACTTAGTACTGAGTATTTACTCAGTGCCAGAAACATTTACTAGGTATTTTGCACAGACTTTAATATTTAATATTCACAACAACTCCATGAAGTATAGAAACTGTTATTACTCCATTTACACAGAAAATACAAGTTAATTCTGTAAATCAGGCATAAATTTCCTATGTTCATATATGAATACATCAGCAGGGAAACCTAGTGTATACAACCACAAGAATGGGATCCTAATTAGAATAAATTATACTCCCATGTATGTATAATGTCAAAATACACTCTACTGTCATGTGTATCTAAAAACAACAAAAATAATTAATTCTGTAAAAATGTGACACACTCAAGATCATACCGATTATAAAGAAGTTTCACTACAAGGTCTATGTCTCCAAAGCCTATGCTTTTAATTAACAGCCTTTCAAGGTAGAAGGTAATTTCATGCCCTCATGGCCAAGAAAGAAAATTACTATTCATTAGAAATCTCTTGATTGAAAATTGTTTATGCTTAAAAGCAGCCCAAATTAAGCTTCAGGTTAAATGTGGAACAAGGGCAAGATTCAGGATCCAGTCCCTGGAGGTTGGACATGTGATCCTAGTCCGTCATTCAAGCTCTGTAGCCTCAGTTTCCAGGGTACTTACAAAACAAGGTTATTTCCCTCCGCACTCCCCCTACCTCAAAACATTTCATGAGGTCAATTACCTGTGGTGAGATAAGGCTGATATCCAAGGATGAACCTATGGCCAAAGGTTTCAATCTCTTTCTCAATAATTTTCTTTCTACTTATTAGATTTTCTCACAAAAGTTATCAGTTAACCAACAAACAACTGCCCAATACCTGCTATTTGTGCAGTGATATGATAGTCAATAAGTAGTATTCTAAAAAATACAAAGTACCATCCTTGGTCTGAAGACCTATCTCCAAGTTTGGGAACTTAAAAGATAAATGAAACAAAAGCACCCAATTGTGAGATACAGCCTAGAGATATTAAGAACACCAGCAGGAACTAGAAAAGTTCAGGTTTTCCAAAACAAAGTGAAATTCTAAAACATCCTTAAGAGATAACTTGTGTGAGGGGGGAGAGGCAACCAGCAAAAGGAACCCTGGGAACCACAAATTAGAGTTTAGATGGAGTAATGTACAGAATGGGTAACCACAAAAAAGACTAATTCATTTCCTCAATTCTTAGTGGGCATATAAGTAGTGATAATGAAGAGAGAAGCCAGGTATCAGAACATTTTAATGCTTGGCATGTAAGCTAAACTTGGAGTAGGAAAAAAGGCAATGAGCTCTGTGACCTGATGACACTGGAAGTACTTGGTTTGAATTTCTTTTCTACTCTCTGCCTCTAATAGAAGAAAAGCAAAAGAACATTTGCAACCAGGTGTCCTAAAGCCACAGACATCATGGACGTTCTATTCCAGCTGAGAGCACCCGGGAACATTGTGCCAAAGAGCTCTTGGAGTGCAAGGGATCATTACATTTCTGAACACAGAACTGGGAACATAGTCAGTGACCCAAAGTGCCAATCAACTGCTGATAGTCTCATGTCAGTCTCTCAGCCCCAAGAGGCTATGGGTCAAGCAAACAGGTGTGATTCAGAATCTCTACACCATCAAAACATCACCCTGCCCTCTGCTAGCTATTATATCAACAAGGTCCTGATGAAGACACAAGGAGATCCTGTAGTAAAGAGCAAAAGAGGATGCACTAGCAGCATTCTTGATCTGAAAATTCCCAGACTCTTCCTGTTGGAGTAACATCAAGAAGTACAGTCCTGAGCCTGTCCAAACAGGAGGTTGAGATGACACCTAACATGCTAGTTCTAATAGGGTCTAAAGTTGTTTAATGATATCACTCTGCCCCATTATAGGCACATGCAAAGGAAAGTGTTTATCAAGGTGCTCTCCAGACAGAGCTTAGTTGAGACTGTTCTCATTTAACCAGCCAGTTATTGTTTGCATCAAACCTACAACTCAGAGCAACAGCCTCCCCCTCAGCAGTACACTGCCATGGCTTGAGCTCTCCCTTAAGTCTTCTGTCCTCAAGGTAAATGGTAAGCCCTGTTCTCAACCAGCACATACCCGAAGAACGAAGACATAGCCTAACATTTCTAATCCAGACAGAGGAATGACCCACCCCAGCACTGTACTGAATACCTTAATAAGGCAAAAATCAGATCCTCAGATAATAATTTAAAAATTTATATGAATGTGCCTGCCAGGAAATAAACCCTGGTTAGTTTTCGCTCAACACAATAACTTAAATCCCTTCTTTTGATCCCTATTTAATAAAAAGTCTCACATAAACTTTTCAATACAGATAAAATTTGATGGGCATGGTAGCATACACCTGTAATACCAGGAGCTCCGGAGGCTGAGACAGGAGGATCACAATTTCAAGGCCAGCCTCAGCAACTTAGTGAGACCCTGTCTCGAAATTAAAAAAAAAAAAAAAAAGGCTGAGGATTTAACTCAGTAGTAAATTGCCCCTGGGTTAAATCCACAGTTATCTGCCTTCCAAATACTAAAGTGTCATCTGACTGAGTTTCTCTCCATCCTTGAAAACACACACACACACACACACACACACACACACACACACACATATTTTTTAGGAAAGAGATCAGCACTGCATACTTCCTGAAGATTTGGGCACTTGAGTATAAAAAAATCCAACTGCTCTATGCCAGGCCAGCCCTGCTATGACATCAAAACCCCCCACCAAAGAAACACCCCGGGAAAGACGCCAAGAAAGGGAAACGCCTCCTTGAAACAGCCTGAGAAAGGTAATCCTGATTCAGCCCAGTGCTGAAACTATTCCTCAACACCAGCCAGGAAGTCCCTTCTTTTCGTGTGCCCAGCAAACCCAGATCTGCCTTTGCGGAATCCCATCTCTGGAGCTTCTGTAAGGGGTGGGTTTAGAAAGGGGCTTCCCTGCTCTGAAGCCCTTTGGGATCCATCAGTGGCCAGGTTTTCCAACCCCGCCTAACCAATGCAAACACAAAAGCTAGTGGCTATACCACAAGCATACATTTACTTACACATACAAAACAGGCACTTATACATACATACCTTTCACCCTCCATTGTGCGAGGCCCAGCAGGGGTGGTAGCTGCTGAACAGTGCGTATACACGGCGATCCTAGCTCAGTTCCCTAGCTCAGTTCCCGGTTCTCCCAGCAGCCCAGCAGGAGATCTGATCAGCAACAGTGATTCAGCATGGCTGCAACTGAAGCCTCCTCCCTCTCGATCCTCCTTCCTCTGACTTACTCGCGGCAGTTTCTACTGCAGAAGCAACAGCAGTAGAAAATGTCTTACCCAGAGCTCCCTGCAGTCCTTTCAGCTGCTAAAAGCAGCAACCCACTTGCTCCCCCTCCCCCCGCAGGCTTGCTGCTTCTCTGTCTCCTAGGAACAGCGGCAGCTTCTGCGACCAAGTGCAGTGCCACCTTTCCAGCTGCTTCTGCATCTGCCCAGGCATCCCCAGCTCAAGCAGCTAGCCCACTCAGGGGCTCCTGCCTCCTCTGCCTATGCTGCAAAGGATCCAGCAGTTCTTCACTAGCCCAAGAAATATTGACCCCTCCTTCCCCCACCCCTCCTCATAGCCTATGAGTCTGTCAGCCTAGCCAGATTGCTGGAATGAGGAGGCCCCTCTGTGGACTGTAGTGGAGTTTATCCACCTGGGGAAATTCACTGTGGGTTACAGTTCAGGTTCCAATTCCTCCTCCCAAAATCTACAGTAGCCCTGAGTCTGACAGATGGAGAGAAATAAGGGGAAAGAACGTGATAGAACTGAAAAGAACACAAGAGGAAAAGAACATAGAATTAGAAAAAGAGAGGTGGTAGAAATAGGTGAAAATGAAACAAACCCTATTTTACTGCAAGAGGCCAAAGTCTATTGCAGCAAAGCCACCACAATGAATATTACACAGGCTTACTGCCCTAGGCCATGCTGAAAGACCACCGATTTCACAGTACAACCCTAAAACATCTTCCTAAAGTCTGTTATACTGAAATTTATTTAACTTGTGGCTCAAAATAGCAAGTCTTCCACTAAATCTCTTATGTCCTCTAATCTCCAGATCTGGACCCCATGCTCAGTTCCTTGTTCAAACAAGGGATCACACCAGTCTCTAATGCCTTTTTAGCTCTAAAATCACTTCATTCTAAAGGTTTTTAACATCCCATTTTTTTTCTCAGTGTAATCTGTGTGATTATTTGAAAAATATTTAATGGACTCAAGTTTTGCATGGAGCTTCAGGGAAGATATAGCATGATGCATATAAAAGCAAGAGAGATGCTCAGTATATCTATTATTCTTATTCTGATTTTCACTGTTACAAAGCCCTGAAATCTCAGAGTGGAGGGAAGAACATTGAGTTGAGTTGACAAAGACTTAAAAACAAAACAAAACAAAGCAAAAAAAAAACCACTTAAACTCTACACAGCCTCCTGAACTCAAACCAGCTAGGATGTCATTCTCCAAGACTAACCCCCTTGATATCTGTGTCCTCTTAGGTGAGGCCATCCCCCAACTCACTTTTCCTCAAGTGAGAAGTGGCCTGGGTATCTTATCTACACTCTATAGCACTGTAGCTTCGTGTATTCTTTCCACAATACCCCTCATATCTTTCTCCCTTTATGTCCCTTTATGCCCCTTCCTCCTCTAATCAGCCTTGTAGCTCTGCTCCATGTTTCCTCTTGAGGTCAATCACAGGGACCACAAAAAGCTGAACATCACAAACAAGGAAACTGAATCCCAGAATCCGTGCCAGAGCACAGGCATCCACCAGGAAAACAACTGGGTGATTCATAAGAGGAACATAAGAATGAGATGACTTGTCCTTTGTACATATCCTCATTCACATCTTCATCATGCAGGAAAGAGAGGAAATGCCACATCTAACAAACCAGATAAAGAAAAAAGTTCAGAAAAGGAAATACTTAAGGGCTGAGCATATTCAGGTTTTAAAATACAACTATTAAGAGCCAGTGTAAAGATCCTACAGAATTTCCTTTGCAATCTACTTTTGCCATGCTAAACAAAATCACTATAATGTGTGTAAAAATCATATTGCTACCTACCCATTGAACACTTTATTCACCACTCACTATCCAGAGAACAATCAGAGAAAGCCATCTAGAAAAGAAAGATCATCTAGCAAAACCAAGTACAGAATCAAAAGTCTCTGGACTCCTTACACAATCTCTGGACTCCTGTTGTAAATCCTCTCTGGTTTCAAAGCTCCATTTCTCATTTTCTACCTGATTACCCAAACGTTCTCTGGGACAAAGCCTGAATCTATTGCCTCTAGGCTAATTTTTCTGACTAGTCTTTAGATTAAGGAGTATTGCTGTTGAATTCTTACAGAAGAAAGTCAAAGGAACCAAAGTAATGTCTGCCTGGAGAAGGCCCCATCCTTGGAGTGCCCAGCAGTATCTAAGCCCAAAGTTCCTTCCAGGCTTCACAGTTTGCCAAGTATAGTTAGTGAACCCAAATCTCCACCCCAAAGTGATTTATCTCCCCCTGTACATCAACTGTGTTTAAAATCTTTAAGCTCATGTGTTGCTTGGGGAAAAAATCATATTGATAGAAGAAAAAACTTTTAAGCCAGGTTTAGTCTGGAAAGTTCTCTCTTTCATACTCCATCTGTATGCTATACCAGTATACAGATAGTTCATCAAGAGACAGCTAGACCAATCATTCTTCCTTTTAATTGCCTTTTTCTTTTTTTTTCCCCACTTTTATCTACCTTTCCCAGGACTTGAAATCCTCATATTTGCAGTCACCATAACACAGTACAGTGGTCCTATATCCATCTGTGCATCAGAAACATCAGCTCATCTAGATAGAAGTATAGACATTTTGGGTTCAATCCCTAGTACATTAAAAAAAATTAATAAATTTTTAAAAATAAAGGGTAGGCATCATGGGATCAAAAGGCACAAAGAAACTTTTTAGGGTTATGAAAATGTTCCATATCTTGATTGTCTTAATAATTAGACTGTATAAGGGCTGGGATTGTGGCTCAGCAATAGAGTGCTTGCCTAGCATGTGTGAGGTGCTGGGTTCGATCCTCAGCACCACATAAAAACAAATAAAGGTATTGTGTCCAACTACAACTAAAAACAACATTTTTAAATAATAATAATTAGACTGTACACAACTACTATGGTTTTCAAACTATACATGGCTGTATTTTATTTTATGTAAATTTTACCTCAATGAATTTAGAAAAACAAAACAAAACACTGGAGGGTCAGGTTGACCTCACACTATAGAATCAGAGCACAGGAGCAGGAATTTTAATGAGTTTCCTCAGTGGCTATGATGCACAGCTAGAGCAAAGACTACTTAGAACAATGAAAAAAACCTAGACCGTTAGATAGTACAGGATCCAAATGTACTTACCAGAATCATGACCCTAAGCAAGTTACTTTAGAAGCCTTAATTTCATCATAAAAAAATAATAACAATAATAACACTTCCCAGGGTTGTTAAGGTTTAAATGTGAAAGTATACAAAGCATTTGGCAGACAATTGGGCCTATAATAAGCGCTCAGTAACCATTAGCAGCTACTATTTCATTGTCTATGCCAGTGCTACCAAACTATGCCTCTGTGAGCTCTGAGTCCTGGAATCAAGCAAAAACTTGGCCAGGATAGGAGCTACACTGGAGCCATTTTAACATCTCCAATGGTCACTATTACCTAGAGATCAGCAAGGACTAGAAAAGACCAAAGCTAAATTAAGGCCCACCCACACCTTTAACCACTAAAACTTCCCCTCAGATTCTGGACTACTTGCTGAATAGGCTATCCCTACAACTGCTTAGAGTACCCCCCAAAAAAGCCAGGCAAAAGCTGAAAAAGGAACTTCAGGCCCCAAAATGTCAAAAGGTAAACAGAACAGCATCTTATCCAGATGGCTTTTCTCAGGACTAGTCCTCTGAGGGTGTAAGAATCCATGTCCTGCCAGGCACGGTGGCAAACACTTGTAATCCCGGCGGCTTGGGAGGCTGAGGCAGGAGGATTGCAGGTTCACAGCCAGCCTGAGCAATGGCAAGGCACTAAGCAACTTAGTGAGACCCTGTCTCTAAGTAAAATACAAAAATAGGATTGGGGATATGGCTCAATAGTTGAGTACCCAGGAGTTCAATTCCCAGTACCCTCCCCATGAAAAAAAGAATCCATGTCCTAAAAAGATTCAAAAATAAAATCATGCCAGGCACAATGGTGCAGGCCTGTGACCCCAGTACTTTAGAAGGCTGAAAACAGGAGGGCTGCAGGTTCAAAGACAGCCTCAGTAATGTTGAGGCACATAGCAATTCAGTGAGACTCTGTCTCTGATAAAATACAAAACAGGGCTGGGGATGTGGCTCAGTGGTTGAGTGCTCCCAAGTTCAATCCCTGGAACCAAACACTAAAATAAAATCACCCATGATGTTTATGTTGCACTTTTAAGCTTCCAAATCTTTTTCTTTTTCTTTAATATGGAACGCTTCACAAATTTGCACATCATCCTTGAGCAGGAACCATGCTAATCTTCTCTGTGTATCATTTCAATTTTACTACATATGCTGCTGAAGTGAGCACTTAATCTTACAAATTCTCCATGTCCATAATTTCCTCTGACTCAAGATAACATTCCCCTGAATAATAACTCCTATTTCTTGAATTTTTACTCTGGGCTAGACCCTGAACTCTGAAGTTCACATGTATCACTCTTATTGAATTCTTAACCTTATGCAGGTTATGTGAGAGAACTGAGGTTCTGAGAGTTAAATAACTTGACCAAGGCCCATAGGTAGTAAATGACAGAGCCGGAATTTGAACCCAGGTCTGCCAAACCCCACAGGCAACTATTTGTTATTGTACAGGGCAGGCTCTATCCCTATCTTATTACCTTTATTTTAGAGAGAAGCCAATTGAGATAGAGACAACTGTCAACTCAGAAGGCCAAAGCTAGGTATGAGTCAAGACCTCTCCTAATGCCCTTTCCATGTCACCTCTAGAGGAACAACAGCATTTGAACCCCTAAAAATATTACATAGAAGCTGGCACTGGAGGCTTCTAAATACCTAGTATTAGGAAGGAAGGAAGGAAGGAAGGAAGGAAGGAAGGAAGGAAGGAAGGAAGGAAGGAAGGAAGGAAGGAAGGAGAAAAAG